AACACATTGTCTTACTTATTGCTACTCAATAGCTTATCTTAAACCATTATTTTATTTAATTTTGACGGCATGCTTTGAATCAAACTAACATAAGTGCCTTTTCCAATCTCTTCTCAAAAACTTTAATTTTAAGCTTCTTCATATTATATATTTAAAAGGCAAAATAGAAGTTAACTTATGTAAAATATAGGAATCTTGAATACCATTTTGGCCACAGAGTTTTTATGATCTTGCGACGTCGGTCAATCAATTCTTGTCGTTGTATTTTTAATAACAAAACGAAAGTGTAAACAAACAAAAAAAAATGGCACAAGTTACAAAGATATGCGACCGAGTTTTTTGCCGGTATTACATGCATAATAATAGAACGCACAAAACGTATTAGTTAACTTTTTTGATTAGACGCGTATTTTGGAAGAAAATAGAGTTTTTATCCAAAAACTTTTTTCGCACATTGTATGTCTAACTCGTTATTGGCAATAAAAAAACTTTTTTGAATAATTGTCATAAGAACAAGGTCAGAATAAACTCAAAAATTCTTTGATACCCGCATTTTTATAAAATTTACTAATTTTCTCTTTTCTATAATTTCTGTTCTTTTTTCTTTTCTTTAATAATAAATCAGACATACAGCGTGTGACGAAAAAAATTGCCCTCACCAAAAATTGCATAACTCAACAATTACAAGGAATAATTAAAGCAAACATTCTTGCTAGATAGCGTATTAGGTACTTACTTGATATAAAAAATTTTAATAAATTATTATTTCCTCGTTATACTTGCTTGTATCAGTTTTTCGTTGCACACAAAAATTTATTATCTATTTTTCCGAAATTTTCTGAGAAATATCCTCCTATTCCCGATTAATAATGCAGATGCAAATTTCACTGTAAATGCTTTACATAGTTGAATTTGTATTATTTTTACATAAAACAGTCGGCACAAGATAATCTTTGTTTCTCCAACGGTTTATTCTTTGGTATGTTACATATAAAACTTTTGATCAAACATAAGTTTTCCTGTCATGCTCTGAACCATTCGTATCTTGTGGCTTTTTGAGATTGTTTACAATGAAACAAAGATAAACACTCATTTTTGGATGTAATTTCATTTGACGAATAAACGTTGTTGGGGTATAATCTGAAAGTAAAGTAAAACGTTGTGAATTTCAACCTTCAACCTTGTGTAACATAGTTTATAAAGTTCTCAAAAATTAAAGCAGAAGTCAACAAAGCCTTTTCTTTGGTAATATCTTCAACGAGACATAAACAAGCTGATAAAAATATGTGTACCATAATAAATAACGCGTTTCTTGTCTATTATGCAAAATATTTTCGATTTCCCGAGGGCAATTTTTTTCGTCACACACTGTACTTTTTAGTAAAATATCATCCCTTAAATTTTTCCTGAACAACGGGCAGCTGCGAAGTGCTTTATTAAAAACCAATAAATAATAATTAATTTGCGACAAAGCTCGCTAACTTTAGGAAAAAATTCATTTCACTGACAGTTTATTTATTTGCCAATTTATATTGTTTGTCCAGCAATAGTAAATCTAACAATAACTTATTAAGAATAGCTGCTACTATTCAATATTATTAAAGTTAATATACGATTAAACCTTTTGCGTGTTTATCATTAATTATTATCTGCCAAAATTGTGAGTTGATATACTCAAGGATACTTGCCGAGTCGCACGGCACTATGGAGACTAATGTTAATTACACTGTCAGTCTCGATAAGTCGGCCAAACGGGTTTGATTTCTGATAGCCTACTTATCGAGGATCACGTAAACAAGCCTTTTAATTAAGCCTTTTATTAATAATTACATAGTCAAACTCGATAAGGTAAAGTCGGCGGGCTGACGGTAATGGTTAGGGCTTATTTTATCGAGGATTATATGTTTGTATACTGCGGTGACAACACAAATTGCTACTATTGGTGGATAAGACTGTTTGCGTGTTTCAGTTACGGCAGGACTAATTGGAAATTTCTCTACAACTTCCTGATTTTGATATAAGCGCGTATTGTTTCTTCTTTGTAGTCCCATTAAACTCCTTCTTGTAATAATTGATCGGAGTTTTTACTACCAGATAATTAATTAGATATATTCTTGCGCTTATTCTTGATAGAAAGACTGACCGGCTGTGGTATTCGTGGTTTCCGAATCAAGAATTAAGATTGTTTGGTAACACTTATTCTTTAAATGGTAAATTATAATTATTTAATTTAAAGGGGTAAATATTTAACTAATCGACTTATTATTATGGTTAGAAGCGTGGGAGAATTCTCTTTATCTTACAGTTTTATCGAGGTTTATAATAAAATTTATTTATTTCCACAAAAAATTCGGGGCAGAAAAACTCTTTATCTTAGAGTGATCTTATTTTATCGAGTTTGACTATGTACATCGTAATAGTAAAATAACCCTGCAAACTAGCTTGTCTTAGAGAATCAACTTGTTTTTTTCTTATCCGACGTTGTAATCTTGTATTCCATATTACAGAACTATTTAAGCTTAAACTATTCTATTTGATTGCTGTTTAAATGACATATTGACGTATGATTGTAGTGCTATTATAAGATCGTTCCAGTAGTTTGTGTTACGTTTTACGCTTGTCACGTGAGAAAAACTTATCGAGATGTCAATTAAGACTCGTCTGGAGCTGTTGGCCGACTTATCGAGACTGACTGTGTATTAACTATTTTATATTTACGAGGGAAAACTCTACTTGCTTTAAAATAAACCATTAAAAGCTACCCACAATTTCCAAAATGATGATGGTACAGTACATCTAATGTTAAAAAGTTCATTAAACACTTATTTCTTTCCAATGCACTGTACATCGGTAAAGCTGGTCTTTTGTCAAGCTTTGCTCACTAGAGCACAGTAATATTAATTTACAACCGACCCGTAGTAATAGGTTTCGTATTCATCTTAGTTTGAGATTTGTTCATCTCTTTACTACTTGCAAAATATGATAAAGATATGTAAATTATTCTCGGGGGTTTAAAGATACACTCGATGGAAAAAAGCTTATGCAATTTTTTTAAAAGCAATTATTTTAATAGCTAGTTGGATGCCTCTATTCTTCCAAGCATGCTATCAGTCAAAGTTTAAATATGTTTCGTTTGAAATTTGCTCTCATTCTTCTTTTAGAAAATCTCCAATTTATTAAGGCTTGTGGGACGTTCAGGAAGTTTACACAAGCGGCGGTCAAGTCCAACCCATAATGTTTGATAGGATTCATTGAGAGGGCCAATCTACCAGCGTTTTGATTTCCCCCCGGCGCGGATAGGAGCGTTATCATGCTGTAATCTTCCGGTCCGCCAATGGGTTTATTAATTTTTTCCAATAAAAATGGGAAAACTGGGGACACTAGAAATACACGCAAAAAGTAAGGCTTTCGATTGGTACTAAAATCACTTATTCCGATTTGGAATTAAATAATAAAAAAACTACCCGCATAAACTTTCTTCCTTCGATGCCCACCATTATATCGATTACTTACTACATTAATTAGTCTGATAACGACATTAATGACTTTTCACAGTTTAAACCAATTTTGGTTCGATCTCAATTCCACTAATACGCTTTCATTCATGAGAGATAACTTGATTCGCAGTCCAACTTATGGCTTAGAATGACTGATAATGTTTTGTACGGAGCTATTGTAAACATGTCAATCAATTTGATAAGATCTCCTACAGTAGGGAGCACAAAAAAGATGGCAGCTGCAATGATTTACACGCTTAATAATATAAATGTAAATCTAATCGTCATTTTTGGCTGGGATTTGCGGTAGATAGAGTGAACGGATGACTACGAATTTAGTTTATTGTGATTATGATGGCTATTTTCGGCTTTATTGACGCTTCAAAGATCGACAAGTCGTAAACGTACTGACTATTCAATGGGGGTGTGTTCGCAAGTAAGAGCAATAGAACAGATCCGTTCAAAAAGTTCCCATAACGAAAATTACAACACAGACAATTTTGCATTCAAAGCTCAAAAAGTAAAAATGATATCACACAAATATCTCCTTATCAACATGCAATATGTATCTACCCCATGCTTTTTAGCCCCTTTGATTCTGCATCATTACTTGTTCTCAACATTGGCTATTCTCTCTCATGCTCATACCTAAATGATATGAGATTATACGCACACGACAATGCGCGTGCTTCTGTGCAACGAATATTTACGCACAAACCTTCGTCTATAATCGACTCTTTGAAATTGAACAGATATTGCTTGGACAGGTACAAGGGCCGAATTTGTTGTTTTTTTGAAAGACTAATCAGGAGAACATCCGAAAGTACAAAATCCCTCTAATGGGGGGAGCGCAGATTATTCGTTCTATTAGCTACAACTACGCCCTTTATCTTGGTAGCATTCCATATTTGTAGCATATAATGGCTTAAATGCCATATTAATATTTAAATATTTATTACTTTATACAATATGCACCGCATTATCCTTTGTGTGGTACAATAACCGATCATCCCCAACACTTTTTTTTTGGCGATAAACTCGCCATTATGCATTTTATACACAATTATATTGTACTGCTATTATACGTTAATTTATTCATTCTAAAATAATCATTATCCCATAACAATCGAATCGACCACGCACAAAAACTGCTACTAACCTATTTCTCACCCTTCTCAACCACTCATCCACAATACTGCTTCTAATCAATGCTCAAACGCCACATGATAGCTCTCGTTATTCATTCTTCAATGACGTTACTCCTAACCTGATTCTCTCCTGTGTACCAAACAAACCAATCCAAGGCGGTAAAAACCAATTTTTCTGATCTTCCCAATCATACATTATTATTATTATTACACACACTTTGACAATCTTCACAACATTGCCGGGCTACTTTTCTTCTTTACTTCTCCCCTCCTTCCTGGAGCCTTAAACACCCACCCACCCACTTCCCCTAAATCATCTATCCCATCCGCATACCTATAGAAACAACCCTTCAAAATGGTCTTTGGCGTTAAAACCATCTTTAAAAATCAAAGGCCTTCAAACGCAACCTCTACAACATACGTTGATGAAGAGGCTTACATGACAGACACAGAGTCAGAGTCTGCTTACACGGCCGAGGTCATCGATACCCCTACTACGCAATCGGACGTGAAAATTGAGCTCGAGGGTGAAAATAGAGATACCTTTATATTAGTACCAGGACTATTGGGATATGATACTCTGTCGCTGAACTTATTCGGAAACAAGTGGGTGCTGTCAGATTATTGGAGTGGTTCTAGGGAGATGTTTGAGGATTACATCGTTGTTAGGCCAAGTGCTTTCGGAGTAAGTCTTCTTTCTTCTTCAAAGAAGAGTAGAAAAGAGAGAGATAGAGTGATAAAGTGAGATATGTCAAGCGCATAGTACTATGTTTGATTCTCCGTATATATGCGTATACAAATTAGAGTGAAGGGAATGTTATGTCTGTGAAGATATAGCACGATCACACGATAAAACACATGTTTATAATCTCTCGTTTATTGACGTTTCCAGTTTCCCAGCCACAAACCATATAATGTATATTAATATAAATAGTAACTAATTTACTCATCTTTTCCTGCAGTCCCTACATGACAGGGCTGTAGATATTTTTTATCAACTAAAGGGCGGCCGCGTGGTAAGTAAGGGTCATTAAATTTTTTTTGTAGCTTGTGCTTTCTTAACCAATGTTACGCCTGGTTTTCGTTACGATAGGATTATGGGCATCAACATTCCGAACAATTTTCCCACAACCGATATGGGAAAACGTATGGGGAGGGTCTCTTTCCAGAATGGAGTGAAGACAACCCGATTGTTTTGGTTGGTAAGATATTCACGTGACAGGCACAGATATATTAATATTTATTCTACCTCGAGATTCCCACGTTTAAAAAATTAAATTTTGACAGGTAAAGGATATGGCGCTACCACAGCTTTGTACCTCCAGCATCTTCTCTCCTCGAACTTCTTTCCAGTTCCTACTTCAGGCAAATGGATCAAAGGCATAATTTCGTACTCTGCTCCACATCGCGGTTCTACTCTCCCATATGCTCTAGGCCTCGAACCTGGTTCAACGTGTATCGTCCATCCACTCTCTATTCTCCAGGTCTTTGTTACAATCATCCATCTTATCTGCTACTTTACCTTCCTCGATCGTCTATTTGATCTGCAACTCAACGACAAATGGGGAGTAGATGGTAGGGACAACGGAGAAGCGAGCTTCTGGTCGGCATTAAATGGAAGAAGTAAATGGAGTTACTTTGGCGATAATTTCCTTGGAGATTGGTCCGTCGAAGGGGCTAGACGCAGATTTACCGGAGAGAAGGACAGATTTCTGTTGGATCCTGCGTGTGTTTATATCAATTACGTGAATGTTGGAAGTATGTGGAAATCGAATGTGACTGGGCATTACTGGGTGAGTCTTGGACAGGTTGCGAAATCGGATAGAGAATATGCTAGAGAATGTTGTTATTGTGAACGGGGTGTTATACCTTATTGAAAATCGTCTCTTGCTCCTTCGTACCCTTCTTCATCTCCTCCCTACCTCTTCCCACCTTTCCACCTTCTCGATCTCTCTATCTAGCCTCGCTTGCCTTGGCGCAATCTTCCAAGTTTGCTGCCATCTCTCATTGTCGGTCGCCTAAAATTCTCTCCCGAAGTCGAGCAATCAATACTTCGCACACGATCATCCACATATTGGGAAAACGACGGTACTCTCTCTATCGTCTCTCAACTCCCTCCTCCGAATCACCCCGTCAACATGAATATTGCCCTCCTTGAGAAACTTTTCGATCCTGTTGACCATGAACTTCAACCCGGTGCGTGGTATAACGTTTATGTCAAGGATGTCACCAATACTGTTCTATTCGACGGTGAATCTGCGTGGATGAGTCTGCCGATTGTTATCGCGATTCTGGAGTGGAAGATTGTTCTACAGTTTGGAGAGTATTTCGAAAGGAACAGTAAGATGTACGATAATTATTACGTTGAATTTGTTGAATTTATGGAGAAGAATATCAACTCGATAAGATCGATATTGGGTCAGGAGGTAAATGAAGAGGCTTCGAATAACAATTCCTCTTCGACCAAGGAATGCACTTACACTAGCGATAAAGCTGCACTGGAATGGATGCGTCGTATTGAGACTGCTGAAATGTTCAAGTCTCCCAGCAGGTTGCTTTATTGGATGAACAATTTCCAGAAAACCCACAATGACGAATCGTCTTCTGATGCCATAAAAGCTGATCTAACCGGAATCAGTCCCTTTGGTCCGTCCTCGGTAATGGAAGGCCCAATGTTTGTTAGAGCTAGGCAGAGGATGACCGCTGAGCAATATAAAGCTTCGATTTTGAGTGGAGACAGTGAAGATGCTACCAGTAGCAGTAGTTCACCCTAAGTTTTTTTTTTTGACATTTGGGAGTAATTTGAGGTAGACGGGGGAAATAAGTGTGTTGATTGTCGTTTTGTGGTTTCTGTTTATTTAATGTCGATTGGTATAGGCACCTGTATTGTTAAAAATGCTTGTATTGTCATGATCTTTGTACATATATATAGCCCCTCATTCTCACTTATTAGACTTGGGAGCATTCCTCATTCGGACTTTTACAAGACTGGAACATTACAGACTGTTGTTTTCATTATCTTCCCTTTATTTCGTTTCAGGGTGATTGGTTTTGGTTTTGGTTTTGGTTTTTGGTTGTACTATTAATATTTAGAGTTCATTGTGGACACAATAAAATAAACATCGGTGTTATTGTTCTGAACTTTATGGCTAGGGACTTACGCTTGTAGCAAATTCACGAGAATATGCCAACTCGTTAAAACAGATTCCAACCGATGTGATGGTAACAGAATATCAAATTTCTGCGACTGTAGCGTGTGTTGATATTTATTTGTTCTCTGCTTAATAATCGACTTGGGCTACCCGAAATAAGCTCCGCGCATACCATATTTTCAAACAAACGCGTATCCTATTACACTCGAACTACACCAGGCACCCAAACGGTTTCCATTTTGTCATGTATACTAATAATTAGCCTCTTCAATTGGTCTTCTAATTCATCTACACGATGTGTGACATCGCTCCAGTTTGAACGTGTATCTGTTGCCAGAACAGTTGTTAATCTTGCATATTCTATATTCACGTTTTGGAGTATTGAGCGTAAATCTTGAAAGTCTGCAGAAAATTTCGAGTTAAACGAATACGATAAATGCAATTTTTGTGCTATCTACGAATTGTGGGATATGAATTACCAATGTCAGCTGTGATGGAATTAGACGAGTTATCCATTAATTCCTGTAAACGCCGCAAGATCGCTTCTTCTGTAAACAAGACAACTTCAGGGGCTTGGCATGAGATTTTTAACTCGACTGCCATTGTATCCGAACTTTTCTCGCCTGCATCCACTAGACATACTCTGTCAATATTCGTTTAACATATTCACAAAAATTACCGACATTGATGCTTCTCTTACGTTTCTTGATATTCAATACAACCGGTGTTAAACTCAACGGTGTTAAAAAGGCGGCATAATCAGCTGCCTTGATAATCTCGTGAAGTTGTTGTCTATAATATTACAAGCATATTAGCAACCAAACTGACTGGGACACGTTATATAATCTCATAACTTACTCTTCAATGTAATCTCCCAACAATATTGACAAGCAACGTCTCCACGCTGATTCCAAAGTTGAAGCGTATTTCTCTTCATGGTTCATTTGCATATTTTGATAATTGTACCAGCCAAGACGGAACTTGATTACTACCGTTCTTATGTTGAACGATGAAATGAAATCTGACCATGTAAGGGTATTCACCTAGTACGTGAAAAATAATGAATTAGAAAAAATACGCAAGTAACAAGAAACACGAGACGAGAATTTATTGAATACCTCTATTCCTCTGTTTGCATGAAACCGAGCTATGAGTTTCTCGGCTGTTTTCCTGAAATCGCTCTTTGTTGCAAAAAATTGCCCATCCATCGGCACAATAAAACTTGCACCGTAATTATTCCCGAAATGTCTATGCTTCTGAAGTCGTTGTAGAATATCTTGTGGGCATGGTCTAATGAAATCTAAAATGCTGAATTGTATTGTCCGTATCGGAAATAAAAATGATTTGGCTTATGTATACAAAAAGAATGATTTAATCGGCATAAAACAGCTAAATTGTCAAACAATTAATCTTTTGAAATAAGTACTTTTGATTCCCGGCTCTGGCGGAGGCTTTAGAGGGGAGAAGCACAAGTCAATTTTTACGTTGATTGGTAGACATAGTAAACGTAGATTGACTTCTACGTCTCGTTCCCTGTTCAATTTTCGAAGTCGTCAGCCTTGATTGGTAGTTACGTTAAAAACACGACATTATAATTCATTACCATTCAGTATCCATATCTACTAACGGGACTGAATATGATACAATCGAATTTGGGTTTCCGTTATGGGCATAAACATGAGCCGACATTATCACCATCACTTAATAAGATGTAAGGACTGACGCGTGTAATTTGTATTACTACAATAATAGCAAAAACATTCAAGGATACATGTCCAGCCTTGTGACCAGTCGATCTGTAGTTTATTGGTTATCTTTACGCGAATGAATGTCCTCTGTACAATAGTTCCGTGCAACGACACGGGTAATGTTATGGGGAGACAAGTAACAGCAAACTGCGTGGCCCGAGTATCGTTCGACTTCTTGGCAAAGCTTTGTAGCTCGTGAATCACACGATTGCGTGCAACAATAGCCGAAGATAGCAGCTAAGCAATGAAATTTGGAAAGTTACGCGACATTTCACAACTGATGTAAAAAAAAAATCGAGACACGTACTTGTGAAGTCTTCTCCAATTGCGATTGCTTCTCAGAACATTCTGCAATTAAACCCAATTGACTTTTGATTTCTTTCTTCAATTCGGCTGCTGATTCCACGCATTTTCCTGTTGATTGTTGGCTATGTCCACAATATTCACAAAATGAAGAATAGGCAAAACGAGACGAGTAATCGCTGATATCCTCTATGGAAATTGTTTTACCTTAGAACGATTGATAACTTCATCTTAAGTATACGGCCATCCTTTGTTACAGAGTATAATATTTCTTCGGATGAACCTCCAGCAGTCCCGACGTAACATAGTTTAATTATGCCAACAGGAAGCTTAAGCGTGCTAAGGTGTAGTGATACAAGTTGACCTGAACAACTGATAAATTGAGCAAATGACTATCAACGACAACAATAGAGCATCATTACTGCTTTTACCATTTTCAATCACATTTTGATTAAAATCAATGACCACAATTCGACCATCGCCGACGGCCAACAGTAAATATTTCTAATTCAATTTTTGCACGCGTAAACAAACGTATATACATCTAAAGCATCAAAATACTTATAGTAGACTAACCTTGTACAAGATAGAGGAATAGACAGGGCAAGGAACATTGTATTCTCTGTATAGCGATTTCTGCGCCTTATTGTCACTTGCGTTTGGATCAGCTGTCATCAATCCGACCGTCCCACGCGATCTGCAAAAACGTTCGGTAAACTAGTATAGAGTCGGCAAGTTGATTTCATTCACAATAATTTACTTACCCAACAATAAGCAATGTGTTATTAACATTTGTATCAGTAACATTAATACTGAATGTAAGCGGCGTATCCTGGAGTGCCCCTTGTTGGACTGGTAGCACGTACATGGATTGGATCGGTTCCTATAATCGCAATATGTCAACAAATAGTTCTATACCATATAATGTAAATGACAGGTCGCTCGCAGTGCACGAACACTTAGTGCAGTCACAATCATTGGTTCAGTAAGAGCCGCGTTCAGTTGCCGGGAGAGGATAACACCATCCGAAAGCCCCATCAATAGGATGTCACAAGAAAGACTACCGCTGTAAATAGATAATAATAATTTGCGTCAACCGGCCATTTAGAAACATAAACATAAATCATAAACAAAACGCTTACGAGCTGAATACTTACTTTGCAGATCCAAACAGCATTTTAGCCAAATCTTTCGAAATCATATGGCGGCTGATTATATTTAATGCGGGAGTCGATGCAAACGTAGAGAGTATGTCATTATTGTCAAAGATAATATATCCACAGTTTCGTCATGAGCAAAAAAAAAATTATCTGCTTCAAGGATATCAATCAAGTGACAATTTTGTCGCGCTTGATTCCCCACCGGTTCGGCATTTTGATAATTACAAGTGCTGAATAGAATTTTATGACTATGCATATCTGTTCCGAGTGACATGAATTCTATCTTTCCATTTTGATAGCACAAGACAAAGCATTCCGTGTTCTCATACTTGTATTCAATAAGGGCACCAATATCTGCCTTCAGGTATAAAGTTAATCTTAGTCGCATACTTGTCCATATCAAATTATCTTTAACGCATCGATTACACTTGCCTGCTTGTAAACTAAATTCTCACTGTTGACACTCAGAATTGTAGGTGCAGACATCGGTACGACATATGATGACAAGTTTTCATCTGTTGATAACATAACAACATCATTATCCGAGTCTGTGCTATACATTCTACGCGATTTCTTAGCGTGCCTTGAAATGTCGTAACTGTCGTTGAAATCACGCTCCTGATTTCTACAAAAAGTAATTTCTATCGATAAGAAAGCAAGAACGTTCAGGAAGCTTGGAACGCACGCATCCTACCTTTTATCAATATACCGTCCATGAGTGGACCGCATTCGGAACACAGCCCCGTCTGCAGTGGCTACCAAGACAGATATAAAATCATCATTCTGTACACTATGTTCTAGTGAGATTTCGACTGGTTCAGCAGGGAAACGCCATATTTGTCTTAATGAACCACTGATAAATATGTGGAAAAGTTTTGGAAGTACACGAACAGCCAGCCAATCATAGGGTTTAAAGCCTTTTGCTATAACAGGTCCAATTGGACGTGGCAGCTGGTATGCGTTGAGAATTTCAAGTTCTATGGTCATGGACAAGAATGTGAAAAATAATGGCTGCTGATCAAGTCATCTTCCATGTCTGCTAAGGTACGCGCTAATTTGTGTTACAATCGCCTGTGTAAACCGCGCCCTTAATAGGGGATTTTATATTTAGTACTTGTTTTTATTCGTAACGTTATATGACCTTTCTATTGTGCATGTCTCAGTTGTGTAAGAAGGCTCTTATTTCTCATTAACAATTCTATTCTACAGTACACGCGAAAGGAACAGAAAATATGCTACGCTGGTTTTTTATTATTGTTAACCGCATACTCTATCAAAGCTCTTTCTTTGTAGGGTAAATTTTAACTGATTGGTAATTTTGATAAAGTTTAGGCGAGTTTCTTTTTTGACTATTCACTCTAGTTCAGTTCAAGTTCTCACGTAATTGGTACCAGAAGATTACTTGCAAGAAGCGACGTGCTTTAAAGCATGCACAATGATATTATAAGCTACGCATTGCATCAAAATTCAAGTATTTATTCAATTGTTGATTTGCTCTTCTCTTTCATCTGACAATGTTCCAAGCAGTTTCGAATTGATTTTGAGTTGGTCAATCTTGAGCTTTTTACTTATTCCCTTATCAACTATATTGAATATCGCATCGATTGCCGCAACGATGTGGTCATCAACAGGCTTGACTTCTGATTCGAATATAATCAAATCATCGAATGTCAACCCTCTTTCGCCCGTATACAAATGCTCGTGGAATTTGACATAATTTGGATACACGATATCATCAAAATATCCAGGTGGATCTTCCCAGTACCCTTTGAAGACAAAGATCATATAAAAAGTTTTGTTTTAATGACCGATGAAGCAGTAGTTATATTAATTACTAAACCGGCAACCGCCGCGAATAATATTTCATGTCACGCCACACTCTCCCTTAGTTTCGTACCTTCTATTGTGACGTATCCCTGCCTATTCTCTCTCCTTCTCTTCAACACGTGATATTCAGCCTTGACAAATAATTTTACATCTAACATCTTTACCACATCCATATTCCAATATAGCATAAAACCATCAACCAAAACAAATATCCATTCCTCTTCACCATGGTCAATGACATTGCTCAATTTCTGTTTGAGATCGACCACTAAACGGTCATCATTGGGAGGAACGTGTTGAGTGACGTTTTGGCTCTCTTTGGAGTCATGACTTGAGGGGATTGTGCCAGTTTGGCGTATGCGATTGATAGTCGAGAGGAATCGAGGAAAGTCTATGGCATCCGGGCAGTCCCAATTTTGCAGATTTCTAGACACATCGAATGGAATCTGTGAGTCTGGCTGGTGGAAAGAGATAAAAGTGTAAAGATCGAGGAAGGAAAGGAAAGGGTATTCAGACAGTTAAAACTCGGATCGCCGTGATTTACCTTGAAGAAGTCATCTTGGAATAGAGTAATGCACCTCGGTAATATTTGTTGTAAATATCTTCCTATAGTCTAGTGGACAAGTAGTAGTGCAAAGTATGAGCTCGTTTATCAAAAGATTTTAGTCTATCATCAAGATTTATTGTATATTTACCGATTTTCCTGCACACGATGCACCTCTAATGTACTATTGTTAGCGTCCAATACTGTACTTGCGCTTTGAATGACATGATATCACACTTACCCAATACCGATTGTGATGACTTTCATTGCAACAGATTGCGATTAATTTGTAACCCCGGATTAAGAGACTGAATCCTAACACTAATTGGGTGTAACATAAATTGATGAAATGTTTATGTACGGAATAATTGCTGATAAAGAATTTATAAGCTAGTTGCCCTGGAAGCTTTAATATTAATTAATATAGCTTTACCTATAATATTCCTCTAATCAGCAAGGCTTAATATTAATGGCTAGGTAGTAACTTGGATCAGTCAAGTATGGGAAATATATTACTTTTAAGTCGTCTAGTACTTGGTTGCTTTATATGCTCCGTTTGATTCTATTCTGCATAACCCAATTTCAATATTGCAATGCTTTGATATTGTCGTTACAGAAAGAGCCAGTAATTACCTAAATGTAACACTTTGAAGTTTATGGATCAGGATAAAAACTTATTTGTTAAACTCTCTTGTCAAGATCTGTATTGAATATTTCTAACCGCAAATAAACAGATGTAGACCAATTTTATAAACAAATCACACACTTGTACAATATTGCTGCTAACAAATAAAGAATATAATACGACATACTATGAAATAGAAGGCTAGGGTAAATATGTACACGTTGTGCATGTATGTAAGCTAGCGCCCAAGTCTGCGTAGTAACATTTAAAAGGACGGAAATTGCTGACAAGCTTTGTCGTTGATTCTTTATTCGATGAATCCGAATACAACTATTCAAAAACTGTTTCATTCCCACGAAATACTCTCCATTAACATCTATGCAACATTGCAACAGTTCTAGAAGGACTTCTCATAGTCAGCTTTTGGGATGCTGTCAACAGTTGCCTAACGATTGAAAAGTTTCCTGAAATATAGGATCGGAGAAAGAAAAAGACTACAAAAATTTATTTTGGCATTGTCGAGACATTGTGTCTTGAAACGAAATTAACCGCGAACAACAACTTTTGCCTGCCCGCAATCGCCAAAAAAATCCGACTTAATTATTCAACCAGTTGGAGCCAGTCGAGATGACTTGTTACCGGCTTTATGAGAATTCAATGCCCAAAGAATTAATAAGAATCAGTTATTATTCGTTCTCAATTATTTATCTATTTATAAGAAAATGGTCGACATTTTTCACGTCTTCCATATAGTCCAGACCCTATTAAACAAAAAGAAGCTTACCTACGCTTATATTTAGAACGGTATATATAATTTTGGACAGCTCTATCCCATTCTGGGGGCTCCACCAACCTCTGTATAACATTACATACATCCTTTACAAGGATTAAGTTAAGGCAAAAAACCGGTAGACTTGCCTTATAAAGTCATTTAATTTTGCGCTTGTACAAATTGTTGCGTAATATTAATAGATAGGGAAAGTCATTTATGCAAACTCCTGGATCACAAAGCAACTATCTTTAGAAATCATTTGTTGACACAAAATTTTCTAAATTTATTCATACCACCGCTCGATAATCAGCATTAATATTAATGCAGGATGTCACAAAGCTCAGAGAAAGCAGAATTATGATTACCGTACCGATTGTACCGATGAACGTACTTGGTTCAAGAAAAGTTATATATGCCCGCATATTTAATAGTGATAGTATAATTCAACATTTATATGATTAAGGTTTACAAGACTTTACTTGTATAGCACAAGTGTTGAAGCGGCAACTGATCTACCGCAATGAAATTGAAATCTAATATTAGCGTAGATCGTCGCGTAATACCCCGATATCGCAATCGCATTAAACAGCGTCGGGATAATTTACCATAAATGGCACATTTAATATACGTGAATATAACATGAATATACAGATTGTGCTGTCAACTAATTGCAATTTACATAAATACAAGCCCTCTTTGCATACAGTCTCGACACCTTTGGCAAATTGACATAGGTGTGTCACGATACTCATATCATTCCAAAACTTTTGACTTTGGTGATCAGATTAATTAATATCAACAAAGTCTTAAGCCAAGTTTGACTTCAAATGCTGTTCAAATATTTTCTATTTTCAATTTTTGTGTTATCTACGAGACTACTGCCCATACAAGCAGCGTATTCATGCGATCCAGCAGCATGCGTGGCTCCCAACTGTTTCTGCGCGTCGACTGATCCACCAGGAAATATACCCATTGATCAAGTACCCCAGTTTTTCGTTTTGACTTTTGATGATGCTATACAGGCAGACTCTATGAAAGGTTAGAAGACAAATTCGCTAATGAAAACTGATTGATTAAAAGATTATTAAAACTGTTGTTTTACTATTAGTAACAAAATCAATCTTCTAGCTGTCAACGCCCTAATAGGAGGAAGAAAGAATCCCAATGGGTAAATATCACTTATCGTTATTATCTATGTGTTCGCTTTCTCTAATATTTCCTAACTATCATATTTAGCTGTCCGATTACCACAACATATTTTACACAGACAATGTATACAGACTTTGGAATGGTTACTGACTGGTATGCTGCCGGACATGAGGTAAGAAAAAAAGACTCTTGTAAATTACGCGTATACGACCTAAAAATTCATATCTAAAAAAATAGGTTGCAGATCACACAATGACGCATCCAAACTTACCAGGAGAAGGTAAGAAGACAAACATTAATTACCGCGATTATTATAACAAGCTGGTGCACATGATAGACTAAAAACTGAGTTTGAATATAAATTGATATTCCCGATTCTTTACTATATATGGAAGAATCAAATATTGTCCATGTGACCGTCTTCAAATCACTTACATTCTTACTTTTTAATAATAGTCGAAATAACTGGCAACAAACTCGCCCTTCACGCGTTTTCCGGCATTCCATACAAAAAAATAACCGGGTTTCGTGCCCCATACCTCAATTATTCGATCGGAATGCTACAAACTCTTGCAAAACTTGGATTTACGTATGATTCATCCATTACTGCCAGTCCAGGTGATACCTACTGGCCGTATACGCTAGATTTTGGAGTAGCAAATGAATGTTGGACATCTATTTGCGATGCTGCCGTGAAATTGCCGGGATTTTTTGAATTTCCCATGTATAATGTTCTTGGTAAGCAGTATTGAAAAGGAGACCAATAATTATTGTCACAGCTGATGCAGAAATCCGGCTGAAGCTGAAACAACGACCTTTCATTGGTTGATCAGATTTTATTCTCTAATCCCATTGGTTAGTTTCAGCTTCAGCTGGATTTCAGCATCAACTCTCTCAATTATTAATCATGCGTTTATTTTTTATGTAATTAATCACTGTTGTCATTATTTTGATCATAGGCGACAATAATGTGGAATATTCGATGGATCCAATGCTTAGTGGTGACCCAGAAGTCGTAGAAAAATGGCTTGTAAGTAACTTTGATCGACATATTCAGAATAAGAAAGCACCTTTTGGTAAGTATAATATGAGAACATTACAAAAGTGCATGCACTCTATCCATGTGTTTTCGTGCATGTACGTCCGTGCATTGAATGAAGCCTTTAACCTATAATTTTTTTTTTCTCCATTTTTTTTCAGGCCTTTATCTTCATCCCGCTCAGCTAGTACCCCAGGCAGGCCGTCCAGACCCCGGCCCACAGATAACCCACTACAATAACTTTTTACAATATGCCTTGTCCAAACCGAACGTATATGCCGTTACCTATTCTCAAGTGCTTGCCTGGATGAAAAATCCTGTCCCGGCTTCCCAACTTAAGGATCATCCAGCATTTAAATGTGATGTACCGAAACTTGGCACAGAAATCTGCAACGGCCTTGATGACAACAGTAACGGTAATATTGACGAAGGGGCAAAACAACAGTGCAATTTGCCTACGGCCAGCTTCTCGACATGTTACAATTGTCCAAGCGATATACCATCCCCGGGCGATCCAACTCCAAAGAGAGTGAGCCAGAATAGATTTGAAGTGAGTGACAGCTGTGATTTATTGTACTGGGATCCTATTGTTGGAAAGTGTTTGTGTCAAGATATGTCGTGCGCTTTCACGGATTTGTCGTCAGTGAATGGGACTAGTACTAGTGGAAATAGCGGAAGCGGCGGAAGCAGTGGTAGCGGCGCAAATGGAAATAGCACAAATCCCGGTCAGGCTAGTAATGCCTGGAAAGTGGAAAGTGAATCTCGGGTGGCAATAGGAGTAATAGGAGTTATTATTTCGTTAATCTGTGGGACGTTGGTATAATATTGAAGTTGTAAAGCTAATAATAGCACTAAAATGTACTTAAAATGAAGCTTATAGATACATATTTTAGTAATAATCAATCAAGTTTGAAAATAATGCCGCTCTTTTTCAAAGACACATTCGTCTTTCGACTTGGGAAAATAAAAAATGCGTATAACTGATCCCAAATATTACGTAGCTTTTCATAGAGCAAGGTAATTCTTGTCACTAAGTTGGTATCGAAAAATATATAATAGGTTTAGTGGGCAGTTTTAGATAATGACCAGCTATTCATTTCCCGAGCACATTATTTTTAATATTCTTGATACCTTTAACTATCGCGAGGAACGTTTATTCATAACGAGGTGCTCGCTAAAGCTCAGTTTAAACTATTTTTATCTTTAAACCTTAAAACCACGTAATTAGATTTGCTCTTTAAGTCGGTTCTAATCACAATCCTATATTAGCTTACAAAGTTAAAAATCCTTTTCCCCGAACATCTCTATTTCCCATACTAATAATACGTACGTACTATCTACTATGTTATTTTGCAGTCTTTTTATTGTCCAAAGTGTCTCGACTGCCTTAAAAAACGATGGAAATAATTGACGCTTTCTAAGTCCGTCGGAATCTCGCGTAACTAATAAAGAATGCGGATCTCACATGTCGATTTCAAAGAATCAATAAGATGAGAAACACACATATGCGTCAGCCGTGGTGAGAAAAATGATGAACATAATAATTATCATGAAAATGCGGTAAGGAATGTTGGAAAATGTGTCAAATATTAATATTTTTATGTCCAATGTTCGTAAAGTAAGTAATAATATACATTTCTTATTTTATAGAACATCAAAGTGATGACTATCTTGAGCGAGGAAAATCAAAGTCCTGTAAAACCACAATTGAAAATCCCTCTCAAGCATTATAACAATAAAAAGATTTTGCTTTCTACAAAATGCTTTTTTAAAGTTTTTGAACTGTACATAGTCTCCTCCGCACCAATAAACTCGGCTCTTCTCCAAATAATTTGGGCTCCACACATATACCAAAATCGGTTAACGAATATGGTCGGATAGAGTGCAGGTAAAAAAGCAAGTGAATTGTGTTGTTCTATTGCAAATAATATCTTTGGCAGAAATTTTCCAATATTAATATTTGGGCACGTTAGTATAAATAACCTCTTTCTACTGATGTATGGCGATCTATACCTTTTTGCTCGCATAATTCGATCACTGCGATGCAAATCATTATGTGGCCCGTTAAATTCAAACGCCAATTTTAGCTTTTCATTGTAAGCATCTAAACGCAACCCTTCTAAAAACTTTGGTCCACATGACGAAAACTTTTTATCCCAATAGATCTTCTTATCGATCTTTCTTCTTTTGTGTGATAAAATTACGGACACCATTCAAACTTTTTTCGTTTGTGGAATTTTGAGAAATGTGTGGAACTTTCTCGTTTTATTACCTTCGATTTTAACTTTATGTCGCCTAAGACACAGTTATAAAGAGAATCCTCTTCGGGTCGCAAATTCCAAAATTATTTTGTGGACTTTTTTTTTTTTTTTGAAATTTGTATCTTACATATTAATGTCGTATTCCGCAGTGAATTTTAATCCACTTTATTCGAAACTTCTTGACCAACTTCCGCCATCCATAAATATGGAAGCGTCCCACAACTGATTGCGCAATCCATTAAATGAAGAACAAGTAAGCGGTATTAATCTTGATGTCGAAAAAATATGTTAGAAATAACACTTACGATATAGAACGAATGTCCAAAAACTTGCACAGTACCTTCTTTAGAACGAGATGGATGCACTTATTCGTAAATTCATCTTCCAGCATATCACGTCTCAAATAAAGATCTCTTTAACAATTTCAGAAATGTATTTTCTTCTGGTTTCAATAAACTTTCCAATCTCTTACCCCATTGTTTATGAGTAAAGGTCTGTTAAGGAAATAAATAGTGATATGACTGACAAGCAAAAAGATAAATTACCGCAGAATAGTACAAAACAATGCTTGTGAAAAAAACACAAAAAACTCTTCAACAAATTTAAGCGCACTTTCCAGAGACAACTTATCGACAGGCTCAAAAGTTTCGTTTAGAACTCATCCTCAGTGGCACAAAACAGTGTCAAGTCCATAATTTCCTTCAAGTCAATTCATAACAGTATTTTCGAAACGTATGCAGTAAACTAGTCATTTTCTCAGAACGTTGCTGTAATTCGTTGAGAAGGTTTTTAGTCATATCTATCGATTTGTAGAACTAACACCAAATTACTGTGTCAACCTCGAGTAATATGCCTACTTCTCTCGTGGGATTAAATCGAGAGCCTATAGGTTGGCGTTTGTTTACAGCCCGCTGGGCTTTTTTTACTATAAAACACTATCTAAATTTTCTGAACTACTTTTGCTTGTTAATAAAAAAAAACCAAGAGAAACTAAGTGAGTTGTTGGTGAAAAACCTTTGTTCTTTATCTAAAACGGGTTTATTTCTTAACAAGCATAATCGTAACTGCCACCAAAACACTTTGATGGACATGTATAGAATTATTCCTATCGATAGAGGGATTAGTGATTTTGCACACAAAGAAGCGGCTGATGGACATTATAAAGTGCTTGGACTTTCAGAAAATTAAGGAACATATCGAGAACTTTCGATAGCCGAGAGATTTGGATTAATAAGTGGGGATTACAAAGTTTTAGGAAAAAAGAAAAATATGACTTTTGTCTTATGCGAAATGGAGATTGCGAATTTATAAGCCGAAAAAAGCTAAGCAAATCAAAAGTTCAGACGAGTTATTTAAGAAAAGTATCAAACTCATTTTAGCAAAACAAATGATTTGATTTGGGAAGACAACTGATTATGGTGAAATACTTTGAAATACTCAGAGACATTCAGTCTTTCCGAGCGATGTGAATTCCCCAGTATGAGGCTATTAATATTGCCAAAGGATATACACATATTCAACTATTGAAGATACTTGTACAGTTGTAAAAACAGCTCTACCGCAAAATTCAAATAGTTGGGAATAATTATCTAAATGCCGAATTCTGCGGACAAATCCCGGAGTGATGCAATTTTAGGAGGACATCCTGATCTCGTTCAAGAAACTGTAGGCATTGACTAATAATAGATTGTTTTGTACTCGGGAGTATTCTTTGTATTTAGATCGGCGTGCAGTATTCATTAATTAAGATTGGAACAATGGAACAATTATCGGTAGTTTTCGATCAAGTCGCCAATCAACAATCGTTTGATACTCCTTTCTCAGAAGAAAAAAAAAAGATGTCATGTCTGACAATCACTTTCTCGTTATAGGAGACGATATAAAAATTGCGTTTGTTACCCAAGATGGTAAATCTGTGTTTGATTGGCTATTACTATGTGTGCTCTCATCAGCTACGGTAATAGTCAGACCTTTTCAATAATCGTACTGTTTACCTTGCACTTACCAAGATGGTAAGCTAATGAGATACCCTATATATGTATATGTATATGTATATGTAACTAACAATAGCAACCAGACAAAGAACATCGAAATATACGTGTTTCCATTTTTCAAATGCTGCATGCAGATCAAACATCTTCTTTTGTGCATATCAAACACCATCTCAAACAATAGTAGTACTGACATTCATGGCTTTAAAAAATTGTGGAATCCCAAAAAATGTATATAAACACATTATTAAAGCTGGGCAATTCAATCCTAGTCTATACACCCGATACACTACTTATAATGCACATTAGAGAAGAATCTCTTTCAGAACTATCTGATACGAACCAATGGTCGTTGTCGCGAAGAAGCACAACGGTATCATCACCATTCCTCAAATATCCCGAATTCCCCGTCAGAGTGCAGTGTCCACATTGTAGTCAATTTGTAACTACAGATATCAGATATCGCAATGGTGCATGCACCTATTTACTAGCGTCAGGTTTGCTGATGACAACAGTGGTATTATTCTGGGTCCCATTTTATCTCAAAGCAACAAAAGGTAAAAACGCTGATTAATGGCCGCTTTGTTGTGTTCTGATATTCTAACAGCTATCGTCTTTCTCACAGACGTAAAACATGTCTGTCCGCATTGTTTCAATAATCTCGGAGTGAAGCTTCGGCTTGGATAATAAATAATGAATGATGATGGGATTTACCCCATCCAGACAGACCCAGTCATGAAGTGGCTATCGCTCTATCAAGCCTCCAAAGAGGCAAATGCAAATCATCTATCAGCCATCAGCAAGCTTTTCTTCTTCAAATATCCAGCGTCATTTACAATAATGAGAGCTAATCGCCATATTATCACAAGATGACGCATATGTAACAATATTTATGTCACTGATGGAGTTGGCCTCCCCTTTTTCTTTATTGCTTGCTGTTTCCAGTTTAACTGTTACCGCCGGACTGTAACGGAGTCTCGCAGATTGGCTATCTTTGAGAATGATGATTGCAACTTCTACAGAGTCACGATGTCAGCAACAGCGCATGTGCACATCGTGTCCCGCGAATGTACAGAGATCAGCGTTATATTATTAATGCAATATCATCTATTGATCGTAGGAAGAATAATAAAAATATAATCTATACTTTATGTTATATCACCCTAATGGTGTAGGTGCGTAACTAGATCAATCAAGCTACCAATTCATCAGGACAAGATAAATACGCAATAAATCTCATGTGGCAGCTGTATATAATTCGTCCTTCTCCGGATCTCCACCTTGGCCACTAATGCTATTATAATATTCACCATCATTCCTAGCTGCGTTCACACTTTCAATGTTATTCCCATTATCATTACCATTATTATCGTTATCATTACTACTATCAAGATTTGTAAAACTCGGATCTGATATCTCTAACAACTTCTCAATAGCGGCATATAATCTACACTCGTTCACCTGAAACACAACTTCACACACATCGGGGTCCACATTTGGAAACATTACCCTTAGCGTTTCCATATTTGTTCTATATTCTGCCTCACTAATTCTTGCCACTTCAGTCTGTACGTCGGAAAAATCATTGGACGTTCTTGAAGAATGGGACGAGTCGGAGAGTGTCCTTTGTCTTCGTTGAGCAGGAACCGTTGCGTTGCTTCCATCTGCTCCTTGTGGGAATGACGAAGGTTGTCCGTGTGGGGAGAGGCTGCGTGGGGATATATTTGAGGAGGAGCGAATGTCGAGAGTGTTAGAGGATGGTCGGGGTGGGGTAGGGGGTGCTAGGGGAGTATCTTGGAGGTCGTTTGCGATTTCGGAGAGGAATTTGTTCATCATATTCAACGGCTTTTGAATTGTCCGCTGGGCAAAGTTGCTACCTTTTTCTAAAAATGCCTTTGCTTGAGCAGAGTTTAATAGTGGGGATTTTGTTGATTGTGTAGATCTTGGATGGACGACGTTATCGTATGTAAGGACTGAATCGTTTTCTTCTGGTTTTGGGCGTTCGCGTTCGAGTTCTTTCATCGTTATTTCGATGTTACTAATAAATAAAAACATAATACAAAAAATCGTGAGTATTTATTCGTTGGAGATAGTAAAAGAGAATGCTAGCGGGGACGATGCTACTATTTATATAAATTGTCTATCAAATAATAATAAACATTCATACTTGTCGAACTCTTCTTTCGTTATTGAAAGAGACGATTCGTCCATATTTTCAATGAATGAAATAGCCCCCATCTAATTGATTTTTGTAAAAAAAAAAAGGATTAGGACAGCGTAGCATAAAGTAGAGGTTCCTCAATGATAATGGGTACAATAAACTAACCAAGCTCGACAGGTAATATCCAGCCTCAGATACAAGCTTGTCTGGATTGCGGAATCGCGAAATGTATCTACACAATCACAAATTAATTATTTCACAATTTCAAAACGAGGATTAAATCGACAAGCATACTTACTGAACGTTTGATACTAAATCGGGTGGATTGGCTCGTAATACAACAAAGATAAGTACTGGTAAGAACTTATCAGCACCTTCATCTTCGTCGACAAGTCTTAATAATCCTGTAATCGTTGTTTAAGTATAGTACGCATGCACATGTCAACAATATTGGATACAAGAGATATTTACTTACCAAATATGACTTTACAACAATTCAATATACAAATAAGTTTATCCCGCGGTGCTTTATAATTATTAATTTTTAAGAGTTCTAATGCGAAATAAAAAAAAAAGTTAATTATATCAATGCAGAGGTCTCAAAGACGTTCGGGTTAGATAAACTCACCTGATTTGGCAAAATTGAGAAATGATTCATTGTTGCGTGTAATGGGAATATCCAAGTGCTGCTCTCTGACCCAACGAAATATTTGAATTCTCTGATGTAATATATCATCCCGCTCTCTGTCATCGGTTGTCACAGGCCCCTTTATTGCTGGAGTAAATGTTCTTGTAGAATAAATGTGATAGAGTTGCGAAAACGATTAATCAAATTGAAAAAAAGTCGTATTTTAACAACAAATAAACAGATAGCTTACAATGTGAATATTCGATTCATGACCAATTTCTCCATCCCTTCTCGGGCATTTTCAAACTCTTGCTCGGACGAATTTTGCCACATCTCAGTCTCCCGCATTTTCAAAGTTATAAACTAGAAGCAAGTCTATGTTACAATGTTATATTAAAACGCTCATTGAAAGACAAGTCACTTACGGTCTAAACATACCTCCAAGAAGTCGTGGATAATCTTGATTTGTTCATTGACAGTCCACGGCTTTCGTGCAAATTCTTTTTCAAAACTATATAATGGGAGGAAAATAACAAAGTATTGGAATATGTTCAACAAGTATATTATCATCGTTAAATACTAACCTTTTTACATATTTTGCAATGCTTTGTGTACTTTTATGCTTCATTTGCTCAAGAAAGCGGTTGAAATCAAATGAAGTATTATCTTTCTTGTATGAAGACTTTTTCTCTAGGTTCTGCTGCCGAACAACATCCTTTACTTTGTTTGCTGGTGCCGATGTGCCAGCATTCTCTTTAATTTGTTGTTTCTCGTCAACTATTGTCAGAGAAATATATAAATTAGATCCTGCAAGAGTTCAAGGTCAACAGACTGACCGAATCATGTATGGGTATGCTCAGCTCGTTGATATCACCACAACCTGCGGCAAACGTTTATTTCCTACCTCGCTCAATTCTTTCCCCTTCAATGCCGACTGGGTTTTCTGAGATGACAATCTGCTCTTGTTTTTCAGAAATACTCGACTGTTTCAATGAGGGCTGCAATGGCTGTGGTGGTATTTCTGTTTCTTTGTCATTAGAAGTGCTGGCCATAGTGAATTAATACTTGCAATCGTGGGATCAGTCTACTGGAAAGCGTATTAGTATGAAAAAATGCTCGCAGTAATATCTGTGCTTGGGAAACAAATAGCATTCACTGAATCACGTTTTGGGTTTGATTGACACATGGTGGTGCTTGAATTCGTGATAATCTACATTCATACTCGGTATGTTTAATAGATTCACCTATTGCCACAGATTCGATGTGACAAAATGGTGTTTGCAGACATGAACAGCAGTGAAAGTTGCTCGCGAGCATTGGAGGGAGATGAAAAAAGGCTTTGGCAAGTCCTCACAAATTATTGGGAGGAAAGGCTGCTATTGTCAAACCAGTGTATTGGATGTGTGATACGAGCAGGCTGAAATATTAATATGTGAACCCATTTACTATTACTGAGATAATTCATTGATATTATTATTATAGAGAAGCCAATAAAAGAAGTGATTGGTCGGTTATTATTAATATTAAATGGGGCTAGTGTTACGGAAAGCACAAATAGGCCGCTAAGATTAATATCAAGCCCTTTTTTCAATTCAGGCATTTGAAACCGGTAATAAAGCTTTGCTTTATCAATCTTTTTAAAGCAACGACGATCACACTTAAAGACTTTCGTAACACAAGTATTACCAAATATAGTCTATTATTTTGAAAAAACCGCCTTGATAAAAGATACCATAACTAATGACCATGTGAAAATTTTAAACAATTCCAATTTTTTTTGAAAGCCTATCATGTGCTTTATTATATATATAATTTGCAATAAAAATTCTATCTCACGCCTCTTTTTCATTGATGAAACTAAAGCTAAGATATATTAATATATATATGTGTTAATGTTGTTTGTATATGTATTATTGCTATATAAACTGTTATAATAATGTCTATGGTGAGACAGTTTGGAGATAAAGGGCCATGGAGGGGATGAGTAAGAGATTTGTGAGAGATAAGCAGAGAATAAGAAGTAAAGCATCTCTATCTGAAGAAGGAAGGGATGAACCAAGAGGTTGAGTGTAAGAGGTCTAGATGGTCAGATTGAATGAGATGAGCAATGTGTTTAAGTTTGTTAGGAGAGTGTGATTGGATAATGTAATAGGCGAGAAACTCGACCATAATACATCAATCAACTGAAACTTCAGGAGGAGGATTAAAGATCATGAGTTATCAATATGCATTTATATCAAGAATGGTGTCATAGACGTTTCCATGTTTCATAAATTCTGTTTGAAAGGGGTGAATAAGGTTTTTATTTTAAGCATATGAGTAGCAAGGATGGAAGAAAGGAGCTTAATATCTGTATTAAGAAGATTTTTCTAACTTAATTAATAAATTTTATTATTATGCTTCCCAGATTAACTCTCCCAGCCTAGATATTGAGTGCCAAGAATATCTCTATAATAATATTCATCTTTTAGTAAAAGAGGAGTATAAAGATATTACCTGTACCATAACTGCTATTACTACATATTAATATAGGCATCCTTCAATCTCCATAAGTCTATAGTAAAGTTATTAGGTACGCCTTGAACACCGTCAACACCGTCAACACCGTCAACGTCGTTAAAAATTAATTCAGAAGGAATAGCTATTTGATATTCAGCAATATTAGTACCATCACAAGGTACTCCTCCAAACCCGACACCAGAGATGGCTTCAGCTTGTATGATGTTTTGAAGATATATTTGTGAAGAACGAGAGAGAGGTGCTGTTCCAAAAGACTTAACAACTACAGGTGTTGTGGGATTTTGATTGTTACGTAGGTAAAGCATCGCAAGAAGCGCAAAAGTATTATCCTGGCGACGTGGGTACAATTTGACAGCCAAATAAATTTGGATAGTAGTCTGTTGAGAAAAATATTTTTCTGCCAAGTTGTGTAAGCTGTTTAAACTTTCAGTATCGCCAACCTCAACCACCAGAGTAGGATATGGATTTCCGGACGAATTAACTGCTAGTGTTGATGGTGGTTGATGACGATTCTTCGGTCGAACACAAATATCGGGACGATAGACACTTTCTGCATCCACGATAACATCCAGTTCACCAAGGACTCGCAATCGATTACTCCAGTTACCCATAATGTGGAACAATTCTCCTTGTATCAGTGCATGAGGATCAAGAGGCATTTCATAGGCTTCAATTTTTCCTTCGATCAAACGGTATTTAACAGAGATCCTTGGTTCACTTTCGCAAAACTTGAGATAAAGTATACGTGATACTTCTTTGTCAATAATGATTCTCTTTCGCTTCACTTCCTCAAATCCTTCTTGTCGTCTGATAGCAAGAAGCCTATATCTTGCTGATCCAAGTGTCGAGGACCATTTAGAGAATAATTCGTTTCGCGATAAGAGAGACATATCGTTGAATGATAAAAAAAATTCAATTGCTGAAAGACAATAGTTACAGTCGTCCCCTTATATTATATATAGTCACGACCCCTCTGTAGTCACGCGATTTTGTGAATTTCCATCCTTGTATTCACATCACGTGACCAAAATATTTAATTCCCTACATATACAGTCACACGCTCAAAACCAGTGACTCTAAGGAGGGGTGACTGTATAAAGGGATTCATCGATAGTCATGTGATCAATAACATAGGTTACACGATAAGTTTTTATTAAAAGAAGTAATAATAATAATGAATTTACGTAAGTATAGATTCAGTTGCCAAACTTGATTTTGATTGGTCACTGATTATTCTTTGTTACGCAACCTATTAAGTCATGTGTTATGTGGATATTCTTCTACGACATTCGAAAAAGTTCTATATTAATGTGTGACTCAAGTGTTACGGTCGGGTGGTCTGGGGTTTGGGAGAGCAATTAATCTTTCGCGTAGGGGTGTTTTTCCGACCGGGGGATGTTACCAGATTAGCTTCATGCTACCGCCCTTAATACGGTAGTTGTTCAATTAAGACTGAATT